ATAACAAGTTGCAGAAATGTATTCTGCTTCACAATGACAAGAGTAGAGTGCATGTGTTAGGGAAGGTAAAGAGAAGAGAAGTAGGAAAGGTTAAAACTACAGGAGAGAGATTGAAAGAAAAATGACAAGGGAAAAAATCATTGTGCACATTCAATGTCACATTCAAGCTACTAAAATTAGTCTGTGATATTGCTATTACCAAAAAAATTTACTGAAGTCTCACATAAAACTTAGTTTTCCTATTATGTTTTAAGGTTTTAATATACTGCTATGCATTGAACTTAAAATACAGAAGCAGAACCTTTCTTGCTAGTACACAAATAAAAGTAATGCTTGATGGCTGTTGTGAAACTCCAGTATGTATTCTTACAAAAGGTGACTTTTGAATGCAAAGAACCACACTGAGGTTCAGTCCAGCTAGCGCTGAGATTTTCTCAAATAAATTGTAAATATACCAAGCTTATGAAAATGTTTATTCAAATTTGTGGAGGAAATGCACTTATTTATGAAACATTGGGAGTTTGGTTATAAATAGCTAGTTGTATTTTTACAACTGACATCATCCATAGAAGAGATACATTATGGTCAGTGGAACTGATACTGCTGCAATCCATGCCAGTTTAATTCATGGATCACTGACAAGCCAAGGTCTGATTCCAAAAGAGACATAAAAAACACAGAAGTAATACATTCTGAACAAAACTTGTTAAAAAACCTGTGTAATGCATGGGACACTTTTTTTGGGGGGAAGGATTGCTGAAAAATAGGACTGTAAAAAAAGATAACTCGGTAAAATACGGTTTTTGTGTATGCTATTTGAAATTATTGCAATGCCACAACCAGGCACCTCCTCTTGTAGTGTAAAGATATCCAAATAACGAAACCGTCTCAATATAAACAGACTATTTGCACTTAATTCATTTAAGCCTAGCCTAGTCTTATTTAGTTCCAGAAAATGGAATCAGCCTCCCAAAGTAGTCACACGCCTTCTCTGTGGTCACTTTAGCCACTAATCTATTGCTTAAAAGAAAGAAGGGGCTGGTCAATTCATATTTCTCCCCTTTTATCGCTGTGCTGTAAAATGTAAGTGATGCATGTGGTTTTGTTTTTCATGACTACGCATCAGAGCACCCCTCAGCTCATCAGATGAGTAAAAATATGCTTTTTGGATCTTGTTGTGCTGCATGGGCAGAAGCAGCTTCTGGGTAACTCACCTCTGACAAGACTGAGGAAGTCTTGGATGTGTGGAAGACCTTTGGATAGCCCAAACTGCTGTCAGACAGGATTGTATATACCTGAGAACATCAGGTATCTACACACATTTGGAGGTTTAGCATCAATAAATTTTTTGATCAGGGACCTAATTAGCCTAATTGTAAATTGCAGAGATATAGAAAGGATCCTAATTCTATAGCTGAGCAATGCTTAATTAAGATCATGTCTTTTATATAGTATGCATAGTCATAGACCCAAATGCATTCTGCCTAATTGTGAATAACTTAGGAGTGCAGACTCTGTGTTCAGTAAAAAATAGAAAGTAGGCACTCTCAGAGATAGCTCATGCCTTAATGGGGCTCAGTTATGCTCAGGAGGTGCGCATGGCCTTGGGCAATAGGAGGATCCTCTATATTTATACATTTAAAGTACTTAGGTGAAATTCTTCAGCCACAATTTTAAAGCCAGAAGGAAGAATTATGTTCAGCCTGTGGACCTCCAGTGCAACCTCAGCCAGAGAATTTCACCAAGTATCAGCCCTTCTGCGCCAAGACTTCCGCTGGAACAAGAGCCTATCTCTTAAAAAGATCAGCTGGGGAAACTGCCTATTTAAAACCAGGATATTCAGTTTTATTATTATAGCTCCAGCATATTTCCTAAAGTTGTTGGAATGCCAGATGCCACTTCGGTGAACTCCAGATGGTGGAACTTTAATCAGTAGTGAGATGTGATTTACTAGAAATGCTCCTCTACAGCAAAAGTAGCTCTGGGGCTTCTTCTTTTTTTGAAGTATTCTGGGTTTCTCTTCAGACCATGTCTTTAAACTTTATTCACTGTACAGATTTATGATAAGTATCATTATTGTAAAATGTACCACAGATCTAAATACTGCTTGCAATGTGCTATGGTGAGAAGTACAAATCTTTATCATAAGGATTGTCTGAGAATCTAGAATATCAGACATCAAACTTTTTTCTAGGCTGAAAGCCTTATTTTGCTTGGTGATCACAATAAAATACTTTCCTTAGCTTTTAAATGTCAGGGTGTTGTTTCATATGGCAACAGCATGACTAGTTTTAAACATTTGCATAAGGACAATGTTCTTTGGTTTGCTTGGTTTTGTGCTGCCTGTAGCTTCCCATCTGGGGTTCCTGCATTAATGATAGAGCATAAAATGAAAGGCAAATCTCTACATATTTTCCCTCTCCAGCCCACTCACAGGAGCAAAGCAGTGGGCAGCAGCCAGAAAATGATACACTGCTATCACATCTATCATCTTTATTCAAAGAGACTGAGTTGCTGGAAGGAACCCAAAAGATTTGACTGCATTTTTCTGTTGTGGAAACCTTCTATATTTCTTCTTTCAGCTAGAAGTGCAACTAGATAATGATGTGTGTTATTGCCTCTGTGGGCCTTAGGAATAACATGAATTTTGTGTCATATAGAGAGATAAAGAGGAAGGGTGCAGAGAGCTGGTGTGGTTTCCTCATTATGCCTCCATAGAGCTTATTTGTTTAAACACAATTGAGGTTTTTAAATATTTTTTTAACTTATAAATCTGTGAACACTGTCCAGAAGGTACAAGTCATCAGTGGTGATAATTTTAACAATTATAACCTGTGAAAATAACTACAAGTAATTTGTAATAACCTTCAATAACTACAAGTAATTTGGGGCTGGAGAAGAGAAAGAGATCATACTCTACAGCTCAAAAAACCCATAAAGATGCAAAGCCAAAACCATCCTTGGAGTAGGTATAACTTTTGAGTACCTTGGAGTTACCCCCACCATAAATTCCAGTGCTTTCACAGGCTATGTCTGCTGTGTGGTGGTGCTTATTGTGACTGTGCAATGGACCCTTCAAGTCCATTAAGCAGTGAACATGGGGGCTGATGTGAAGCTCAGGTGCCCAAAAACCTGGCCTGTTTTTCAAATGGGTCCTGAGCTCTGTGCTGCCATAGTTGCCCAGGATATCAGCAACCAACAATTTTAATGAAGGGTTTGAAAAGCCCATGGAGCAACTCACTACCAGAAGCAGCTGCATTAACAGCTGCATACATCTGGCATAGATTTTTGGAGAGTCTAGGAGGCACTGCACCAGAGGCCTGATGTCCTGCTAACCTCATTTCCCCTCCAGGCACACTGAGGCTGTGTTCCCACTTGACAGCACACCTATAAAAACCAGCTAGGTTAGAAATATAGCTGAGGTCAACTCATTATACTCGTGGGTTAAACAATTGATTCCCCCATTTTTCTCTCTCTTCATTTCTCTTGGATAAATAATAAGTCCTGTTACAGGGAGAAATTCAATGTATTGATTTGGTCTTACCCAATTTTTGTTTTCACTCCCCCTCGGTTATGGGGGTCAATGAGCAGAAAATACACTGAAAGAAGAAGCAGCAGAGCAGAGGATGGTTGGGTCAGAGGATCACTATTTGGACTGAACTCTCTGAGTCTCTCCCTCTCTACCAACAGAATCATATGACATCTTTCATCCTCAAACATCTCATTCCTGAGTGCCTTGTAAAACTTGACCTGTCTCCTTAAGAATGACTTCAAGCTTTGCTGAAACACAGCTCCTCTGGGACTGCAAAGTGCTGCCTGCCAGGGGGCATATTGCTGCAGGAATAAAGCTGAAATTAATACTGGGCTGTCTGAATTGTTCCAGGAGGCACTTGGGTCAAGATTTTGGGACTGAATCCCCATTCAAGCAAAAAGGTTGGTGGTTTAATTGAGGACAAGATGAGATCAGTTTTACAGCTCATCTGAAGAGTGGCGTCAGTCCCATCCTTTTTCAAAGTGGGGAACTAATGAAGTTAGTTCAGTAGTCACTAATAATTGCTGCTATCTTAATTCTGGCAGGACCTGCAATATTTTAAGGTTTTCGGGGAAGTTACTGATCCTAACACCAGCTCTTCTCCTATTACACTTTGCACACTGATAAAATCAGCTTTCAGGAACAATATGGTAAAAGTGCACTTTCTTTGTACTGTGTATCTTCTGCTGCTACACCAGTAACCAACCATTTATCACATAATCAGATCCTTGCTGAACTATATGCCATCTGTGATCAAATGAATGATGAATAAATTCAGAATGCAATTTCAGCTAGTCTATTTTTTGTTCATATTTCTTTCCTAGTGGATTTAAGTCTTTTTGACCTTGTGAAAAATAGCTGCATTTGAACTAAAAGTCTGGAATTTTTCTAGATAATGCATTATGCCAACTTCTATTTCTTCTGGAATTCAATAGAAACTGTTTGGTATATGAGGACATTTTCTACATCCTTATTTACTTTTTCTCCCTTTCAGACTATACCCTTTGATATAGCTAAACTCCAATCTTTGCTCATATCTCCTGGCTCCAGGAACTCCTTTTTGATTTCTGTTGTCTTCTGTGTGGAAGTAACTCTTGCTATCAAGCATTACATTTAGTTTTCCACTCATGTAGCTGTGAGCTAACAAATTACACCAATTTCTTGAGGCCTTCTGAGCTAAGTGAATTTGGCTCAGTATTTCTCAGCCATCAGCCCTTTCATTATTGTTAGGGAATGCTTCAGTGATATTTATTCGTCATTCTGGTAATGCAAGCTCTTTTGCTTTGATGCTGAGACTTTGAAACCTGAATTCCTGACAACATAGAACTTCCTTCAGAAAACATCTAATTAAAATGTGTTAATGCATTGACCCTTGGTCACTTGCAACCCCTGAAGACATCTCAGATGGATGTCTGGTTTTGTTGTATGTCAGCTTTCAGCTAAGGAAATATGCATTGTGTTTACTCACCATGTAGTGCAAGGGGTGGTATGGAGCTTTACCTAGGGCAACAACTGCATTCCAAATCTTCTTGGGTATAGGTTGGTCTCTGTGAGCTCTGGGAAAGATGCAGACTAGGTTATACTTCTGCACCATCATAGAAAAGTTTAGAAAGGACCAAAAGGCAGTCTCATCAATCCCTCTCATCAATAAAGGGAGAAGAACTGTAAGTAATCACAATGTTGGTTGGGTTTTTTCCTATTTCTAGTCTGTAAGAGGTTAGAAATTATAATATTGGCTTGTTATATATCCTTTTAAAGGATATATGTTTGATTTTTCTGATAGAGAGTGGGTGCTAGTTTAGGATGATGTATTATTAAATAATTTTACAAGAAACTAAGATGAATATTTTAAACAAAAGGTAAATTGGTAAGGCAACATCATAATATAAAAAAACCTTATCTAAAACTAAGATAGCTCCTTCACAGATTACAGTTACATTAAAGTTTAAAGCATCTTACCAAATTCTACACTGCAAACTGTGTTCAGCAAACTTTACTATTTTTAATGCCAGTTTTTAACCATTTGTGTGTCTTTGAATGCAGGCATTGATAGACGCTATTCACCCTATTAGTTGTTTTATCAGGGGGTAAGGCTGAAAAAAAAATAAAACACTTTCAAGAACTGGTTTCATTTGAAACACGTTCTGTATGCTTTACTCTGTATTTATTAACAATAGAAGCAGTCGATCCAGCTTATTTTGGCTTGGATCTCCAAGCAAAAACAAAGCTCTTCTTACGACTTCTGGGACTGGATTGCAAGTTCAACCTTACTGATATACTCAGATCTACCACCATATGATGTCCAAAATTAAGAAAAAAAATGTTGACTTTTAAAATTCTTCCTTCCTGTCTCTTAGAAATGGTGACAGGTTGTCTCTGTACATTGTAGATTGCTGGGCATGTGGATCCAGGAGAAGTGCTCCTGGGGACAGCAGTTTTAGTTCGTTCTCAAAAGGAATGGGAGATCTCTTTGTTTGCAGAGGAGTGGCTGCATGGGTAAAGTAGAGCTGCAGATCAAATAGAAGGAACAATAAGTGAGATGATGTATTTTAAATTGCACAATGGGTATAATAGTGGGGAGGTGCCAAGCTCTCTTTGGAAAGTGATTTCAGATGTTTCCTACCCAGAACAATACAGATTTTGGAGACTTCATTTAAAAGCAATCACAAGGCAAAAGGTCACCAGGCAAACTGACTAATTGGTCACTGGCCAGATGGAAATATCTGCTTAGTTCACTTCAAGGACAAGTTGCTGCTGGATAATGTATGGCAGATGGGAATCCAGGGGAGTTTATTTTCATGAATCACACTGCTGTGAGGGCTGTGTAACTCTTTGTACTGGGGGTCAAGCCAGATCTTGTCTTTCTCATCTGAAGGAGAGTCTGTGTTTGCCCCATGTTAAAACAAGGAAGGAGAAGAGTACAAATCATAAGCAGAGATCTCACCACAGATTCTCTTTCTTGCAACCACCTCAAACTGAAGTATCATGTTTGCTGTCAAAATACAGTATAGCTGTAACCCTTTTTGTTGTCCTGGAAGGCGTGTGTTAATCTTCAGCAAGCATTTTGTCACTGTCTCCACAATACAGCACATAAATTGAAACATCTTTCCAGATAAAATCTAGACACCAATTTAATATTTTCCTCTCTCTGAATCTTCCCAAAGACACACTTCTACTAGGAAATTTTCAGACCTGCATGATAGCTTACTAAGGAATAAACATTAGAAGATTGTAAGAAGGAGTAGTTAGTGTACCTTGTAAATAATTTAAATAATACTAAAAAGAACGATTATTGCATTATCTTACACTTCAAAGAAGATCCACCCATTCCTTCCTTGAAAATGGACTCTGTTGCATTTCCTTCCACATTCATTGTGCATCCTTCAGGTTAGTGTACATCTTCATTTGTCAAGATTTTAAGAATATCTCCTCTTTTCTGCTGTTTCTTTGCTGTGGAAGTAGATTCTGTAGCTTCAGGCAAAATGTGTGATCTGCTCTTTGGCTTTCAGAGCTTTGCAAGTTTTTTTACAATTCTGTTGTGGTTTGTAGTATCCTAGGAACAAAGAGACAATAATGTTTGAAACATCAAAACTTATCAGTTAGCCTGAGTTAAAATGCAAAAATCTAGAATTTGCCAGGTAAAGAACGGCCAAGATTGCAAATAAAGTCTTTGTAGGTTGTGTGACCTTTGTTTTGTTAAAATCCAGCTTACTGAAGGACAGGATTGTCCCACATGCCTGTGTCCAGAAAGCTCTCACATAAATTGCATGCACATTTGGCAATGTTTCTTCCTAATATGAATCCTTATTTTATGGGGTATTTTAATCCCATTCTCTTTCTTTACAAAGGCTCTCTACAATGTCAGCTGGCTAAAGAGAATGCACCATGCTGTCCATGCTCCCTGCAAGGGGCAGCTCTGGGCGCAGCACCTTATGTTTACATCGCAGAATAGGACTTCCATAAACATTTTTCTCTCATGACTCAGGCTGTAAATATATTGATATGGAACTGAGTGCCAAGCTGGAGAGCTGATGTGGGGAGGCAGCTGCCACTGTGGGTTGCTATGGATATAATGTTTGATCTATGCCACACTTAGAGGTAGCTAAGTGAGTTAACTAACTTCTGCAGTAATAAAGAAAGTTTTGTACTGTTTAAACCTAGGTGCAATTATGACTAAATCAAGTATGAAGGGAAAGGGAATAAAATCTAAAATGAGAAGCAGAAAATATGTTTCGTTGGGTTTTTTTTCTGAAAACATTGCTCAGCAAATCAAGATCTTAAATTGAAAACTTGAATCCATTTGCAACAAAACAAAACAAAAAGAAAATTTAGAAAAGCCTCTATTGTTCCATAGACTTTTTTCCAACTAAAAACATATATATTTTTAAAAATTTAGATTTGGATGAACCCTTTTTAAATTTCTCATTTTTTAAATAGATCTTAGCTCTGCAATAATAACAATGAATTCTGTCAGCAGTAAGAATCTCTATTTATGTCTGTCAAGCTCTAAAGACTTTACTTACTCTAAAAAGCAGAATTTTAAAGAATGTGCACAAATAAGATGTTTCATTCAGCAGCAGAAAACTTTTTGTTTGGGGTGTTTTTAATTTTACTATTTGCTTACTCATAAAGATATTGAAAAATTTCCTTTCAAAGTCAAGAATAAACAACCTACATAGTTAGTACTGAGACAGCCAGCCTGTAAATACTAAAAGCTAAGCCCAAGGGAAAAGAATTCAATGCTTAGCTAGTTAGAGGAAGGGGGAAAACAAAAATAATTAAGTCAAACCAGGAGGAGATAAAATAGATAGGAAAGCTAAAACAGAGGAAATTATTTTCACTCTGATCATTTCAATACTATCTTGATCCCTGTGGTTATAGATTGCCTCAAGAGTTGTGAGTTAAACATTATGAAAACTGTAAAGAATCTGTTCTTTTTATGTTGTCACTTTATTCCTGAGCTTTCAGGAGCGATATCTTGCAGAGTTTCCCTGAAAACACAAGGTCAGACATTTACTTTCAAAATAAAAAACGCATTAGAAGTTATCCTGTAATCTGATGACAAAGAGTAGGCATTAATGGTACTTCTGCCTGAAATTTTCTCCCTGCTCAAATCTGTGCCCCTGTGCTTTCAAGGGCAGCTGTCCCTGCAATTCTGCAGCCCAAGGTGAAGTTCAGTCCTGCTGGTCTGCAGAGTGGCCACAGCACAAAGCCTGGTTTCTTTGAAGCAGAATCAGAATGTGGGGGGAAAAAAGGAAAAAAAAAAAAAAAGAAAAAAAAAAAAAAAAGAGGCTTTGAAGCGAGGCAGCATGTGGCTTTTTGGGGTGATACTGCTGGTACCTGTGAGCCACCCTGGGTCCCACCTCGTCAGTGTTTGTGTTAGTTCTGAGTTCTTCACATGAGAATCTGTGACTAGTTTGCAACACAGAACAATAAAACACAGCTAAAACCAATTTAACCTTGTCCCACACCTCACATAAACCCCCCACTGATCTGTCTCCTTTGGCCTGATTTGTCTCCTTTTTGGTCTCATGGGGAGCTTTCCCTGTTGGTCTCTGCAAAAAGGGTCAGTGGCCTCAACTTGTCCTGTATCAGAGCAGAGCAGGAAAAGGAAATTGATGGACTGAACAGCAAAAAAAGCCTTACAGTACTTTAAAACCAGCTTTCATCATGTGAGGGGCTCCTTTGGGTCCATATTGATTTGATTGTGTTATCTTCAGGAAAGCATCTGTTTTAATTTACAGTTAATGTTCCAAGGACTTGAATCCTGAGTCACAAATCCACCCCCATCCCCTCAAAATGAACAAAGGTAATATTAATCTCAAACACAGAAAGCAAACGAGTGAATGGAAAAAAACCACAAACATGCAATGACTCTTTGATTTAAGGATACATCATACAAAATCCAAAAATCTTTCTTTGCTGTCACCCCAAGGTCTTTGCTGTCTCACTGTTGTTTCACGAAGAGTAAGCATTAGCTGGAGATTTTGATCAGATTTGGGAGAAACTTAACTGGGGTGTGATCCAAAATTGTTCAGGAAATTCAATTTTGTAGATGCCAAAACTCATTTGAATCTGTTAGAAAACAGTTTTGGATGGAAGCATAGATGGAAAATTAAACAGTTCAAAGATTTCTTTAAAAAAAAAGGCTCTTGTTCTCTAATGGATCTCTTTGTTCAGAACCAAAATAAGAGAGAAAATATCAACAACAGTAAACCAGAATAAAACCTCTAAAGAAAAAATGCTGTAAGTAAAAAAAATAAAAATGTTTTATTCAGCCCAACACTATATTTCCAGGTTGGTGACTGTGGTTGTTGAAGAAAGTAGTCATAATTTCTGGTTTAGGACAACCCAAATAAAAATTAATGTGAGATTCTTCAGGTTAGCAGCAAATCCAGCAAAACCATCATTCACATGGATATGTTTTTCTTGACTTTTATTATAGTAATATGTTTTATCCGTACAGCATGCAGGCTGTTATTCTAATAACTGTTGTTATGCCTGAAAACATCTTCCACATCCTGATTCTGAAATTTCCCTATGCAAAGAAAATTGGTATTTTCATAGCTTAGGCTTTTTTTGTGATCTAATCTACCCTTTGCTGCTGACTGACTTAAGATTTTCAGGGTAATTTCACCCACAACTTTGAATGCCTTGGGCCCAGGCAGAGGAACGAAAGGCAAATGTCTGAATTTTGGCACAAAGCCGTCAGCTGTGCTTCAAACTGCAAAGACTTACTGAACCCTAAGGACAATTTCAGTAAATGGTCACCCAGTACTGACATACTGGCCCTCCAAGAGGTTTGTGGTCTTTGAAAGACGAGCACAGTGAACCCGTTAGAGGGAGATAAAGAAGAACATAAGCCATGTGTGTGACACTGAGGCATGACCAAGTAGGGGCCCCAAGAAGGTTCACTCCAATTTGCAGCATGCAAGTTGAAACAGAGCATGGTGAGATTGAAGACTTGGCTTCCTTAAAATAAAGTCAAATATTGGTGTTAAAAGACTCAGCATAAAGGAAGAGAGAGTGGGATTGGACAGCTTGAGGAAACTTCTGCCATCTGACCCTTGCTGGCCTATCCTATCAGGCAGTAAAGCCATCTCAGTTGCTGGCATGTTTGCTTGTCTTCCAAAAACCAAACTGATGAAAAAACCAAAAAACCTTTCTTTCCTTCTGCTGGTGTTTCTGTTGAAATTGCAAATGTTTTCCAAAGTGCTGATACAGAAGATTTGCAGTTGGCTACAGCTGTTGACAACTCCTTTCCCAAGTGATGAAGTCTAACAAGGGCAGTGCCTGCTGCTGACCAGAGCCCACTTAGCAGGCCAACAGCTGAAATCTGTACAGCAACTCATTTTATGACACACCAAACAAGCCAGGGAACAAGGGAATAAAATATTGATTTAGTTATGGCAAAACAGTAAGACAAGCCAGGCTGTATCTCCCTACAAACTGCCAATCTGCCATCTGCTATCCTTTCATTTTCCCTCGCACCACTGATGCAAGGAGTGTCCAAACTCCTTGTTTTTTGTTTTGCAAACAGCAGTGCCCAGTGGGCTGCTGCTGTAGGTCTGCCATCAGCATCAGCCCTGCTCCAGCCTACTTAACCATTTAATTTGGTAAATGTCAATACGGCCCCTTTGTTCTCCTCGGCACCATATGCTATCCGATTAAAAGTCAATCAGGTTTCTCTCAGCTCCTCTTTCTTTCAGGAAGATCCTTGGCAGCTGACAGCCCCCCCTGGGAATCTTAGGTAAAGAGCTGTGTTCTGTGGAAATGGTGCAGTTATCGTGAACATTGCAGCTCTGCTCCAGGAACACTGATGTGACGTGGGGAATCATTGCACAGCTCACCGTGCAGACATGTGATGGAAGCACATGCACACCCTGCATGGTGGGCAAGGAGAAGAGTTCAGAGATAAGGTACAAAGTACAAGGGTGGATATGAAACTGTGGGGTTTTGTTCATAAATCAGATAATAGGAAGGACATGAGACTTGTTCACACAAAAGCGCTTAGGTGTTTTATTAGTTTCTCCCAAGACTTCAAACAAAGTTACACAAAACAATTTTTATTGGGCAAAAGTCAAAGGTCGATGAAGACTAGAGGTGAAAAGGGGGGAACAAGATAAAATAGAAAGAGGCAATAATAGATCCCAGCATCGTGCTCTTAGAGACATTGCTCACGGATATTCAAGATAGAAATCTCTCTTTCACAAATTCTGTGTCGCTTTACTCTTCTTGCTCATATGAATGCTCTGTGCACACACTTCTTATTCTTTGAGGGCCATTAATTTACCTTCTCTTATTCATGGTTCTCTGAATCATCTGGCTTGATTTTAAAGTAGGAGCAGGCAGGAGTGCATACAAGGCAGAGGAGAAGACAGGGTTTATCTGCAGAATGAGCAGAGGGATTTAGTTGAAAAATCAACAGTGTTAGACAGGAGAGAGGCAGCCTTAAATCCTGTTTCTGGCAGAGCCACGGAGTAACTGAATAACTAAGGTTATT